AAGAAAAAAAAATCTAGTCTAACAATGATTATCTAACCTTTCACCAAAAGTGAATCTTTAAACTAGGACAGCCCGAGGCATTTTCCCTTATAGCAAGATTGTAATAAAACTTTAAATGGTCCTAACTAAATTGTTAGAAGTATTTTCTTTAATTCTGGGGTCAGCTGTATGCTGTGGAGTTCCCCTCAAAGAATGCTTACTTGCTTGTGAAAGGTGATAACAACAAAATTCAGACAGATTAATATGAAATGCTGCCTTACCACGGGGTTAGATACTCCTCACGTTATTTAGCAATTCATCTTCAAAGGAAGCTACTCAGAGTGCTGCGTATGGGCATGATTAAACGTCGTGTCTATTAAATTAAAATGAAAGGCTGAGAGACTCTGACTTGATTCTACTCTTGGACTTTGATTTAGTCAGGAACTGAAGAAGATAATTGGTTATACTGTAACCAGGAGCAAAGTGTCAAAGACATAGAAGTGAGGATTATAAAGAAAGGTCAACGACATAGAAAGTCTCAAATGCTATAGCTAAGATGAAAGTAGTGGTGGCCAAATGTCCTTTCTTGGAGAAAGTACATATTTTGTTCCATTGCTACCCACCAGTCTCTGCCCAAACTTCCAATACTTTGCAAAGTTCCTAAAATGCTTCCAGCAAGATATGGGTCTGTTGAAAAAGGATTTGCTCCCTGAGATCATTTCATTTCAGCAAAAAGATGGTTTCCCTTTGGATACCCAGCTCTCCTTCCAACTACCCTCTTGCAGATGGAGGCATCAAGTCAGTGTTTAAGCACCAATAATTTTGGACTTAATTGCCCTACCTTTTCCAAAAATGCCCCCGCTGTTTCTATTCTATGTTTCCTTCCTCTGGGCTTAATATAAACATTGGCCCCTGGAAGGAATACGTGGTTCCGTTGGTACCATAATTTAACCCCTCCCCAGTTCTTGGACATTTAGATATTCTTTTTTTTTTTTTTTTAAGATTTTATTTTTTTTATTTATTTGACAGAGAGAGACACAGTGAGAGAGGGAACACAAGCAGGGGGAGTGGGAGAGGGAGAAGCAGGCTTCCCGCAGAGGAGAGAGCCCGATATGGGACTCGATCCCAGGACCCTGGGACCATGACCTGAGCCGAAGGCAGTTGCTTAACAACTGAGCCACCCAGGCGCCCTAGATATTCTTTTTTTATCATCTTAAGCGACGTTGCAGTAAACGTCCTCGTCCACCTATCTCTGCTCCCCTGTGTTGTCATTTCCTTACATCACCACCTTTAGATTTCCTTTTGTTTTTTTATGACGTTTTCTCTACTGAGAAGAGACTGTGCTGCTATTGGGAACTTGCCAGAATTATTGTTCAAACTTAATTATTAAATTGGCTTCTGAGTGTAAGTGACATTTGTGAAAATGAAGGTAAGAACAGATGGCTAGCCAAGGGCTTGTCCACCCCTCCTGGCACCAGCTGATGATGGATGGCCCACCCCAAGGAGCAGAAAAGCCTGAGCTGAAAGTCCAGAGCAGTGTCCGGAAGCCTCCCAGCAAGCACTGCGTCTTCAGTGTGGGAGGCAGGAGGCTGAGAAGCAGGAAGATGCTTATCCTTAGACCCTGGAGCTCAGGGCCAGGGACCCTACCTGGCACCTTAACCCTGGGCTGAGATTAAAGTGCCCTGAGCCGAGGGGTCAAGACCCTGGACAGCCCAGTGTGTATTTCCCTACCTTCATCACCCACTGCTCTTAGGAAAAGAGATCTCCCTCATGTTGGGGTTTTTAACCCCCCCTCTTTTTTTTAAGTAGAAAAACTAACTGGTTGAACCCAGGGGAATATCTCCTGAGCTTAAAGGGCCTGAGTTTTGTCAACACATAATTGGCCTCTCCTGATAATAATTTCTAAAATACCTTTCCTTTTTACTTCTCTTTGAAGCTTATATATAGTTAGATAAGAAAAAGAGGTCCAAGTGACTAGCTCAAAGGCATACGGCTGGTTGTAGCAAGGATGAATAGGACTAGAACTTAGTGCTTCTGATGCTAGGTATTCCCTTATTCAGCAGTTATTGGGCACAAATAATGTATGTATCAGTTATAGTACTAGCTAAGTTTTTGTAACAAAGAGATCCCAAACACAGTGCCTCGAATCATATCAAAGTTTACTTCTCTCACATATAACACTCCAGAGGTAGACAGCTGGTCCAGGGCAGATAGGCAGCTCTGCTCCATGAGGTCATTCAGGGACCCAGATTCCTTTATCTTGTTGTCGGGGTCACAAACTTTCTCCTTAAAGGGCCAAATAGTAAAAATGTAGGCTTTGCAGGTCATTCAGATAAAGTATAAAAATAAGCCAAACTAATCTATGGTATTAAAAGTCAGGCTAGTGGTTGCCTTTGTGTGGGTTAGTGCCCAGAAGTGGACACAAGAAGACTTCTGAGTTCTGGCGATGTTCTATTTCTTGATCTGGATGGTGTGGGTTTCACACATGGGTGTGTTCATGTGAAAATTCTCTAAGCCATAGCATAATATTCAAGTACTTTTCTGTATGTATGTTATACTTCAGTAAAAACATTTAAATAAATTGCAAAAAACAAAAAAAAAAGCAGGGCGCCTGGGTGGCTCAGTTGGTTAAGCGACTGCCTTCGGCTCAGGTCATGATCCTGGAGTCCTGGGATCGAGTCCCGCGTCGGGCTCCCTGCTCAGCGGGGAGTCTGCTTCTCCCTCTGACCCTCTTCACTACTCATGCTCTCTCTCTATCATTCTCTCTCTGTCAATAAATAAATAAAAATCTTAAAAAAAAAAGCGATTCAGAAGTATCACACTATTTCTTCTCTCATTACATGGGCTGGGGCAGGCTCTTCTTAAAGGGGACACAGTGCCCTTTAAGGGCCCCATGACACTCCTCAAAAGCAGACAGGGGGGATCAGGGAGGATTGGGGTCAAGGAGTCACTTCAGAGACGCTCACTGGAGTGGCTATCCAGTTCACAGCCATGGTTATCCCGTGGGCATGAGATTTGAGCCATCCATGGTACCTCACTTTCTGGCCATAATAACTGATCCAAAACATGGGTACGTGATCCAGGCCAGGACAAATAGTCTTTTCCTAGGAATTGCCAAACTGGATCTGAGGAAAGGGACTCCTTTCCTTCCAGCTATAAAGATGTGAGCCTGGATTTCCTGCAGCCTGGTCCAGGTTCCGAGAAATGGCTAGCATGTGGGAATGAGCCTGATACCCAGTGAGAAGCAGGGAGAGAGCAGGAGAGAGAAAGAGCTAAGGATCTTCAGGCTCTTGGTTCCAAATATACCAAAGGTCAGCTCCACCCTGCTCTTCCCAGTTATATGAGCCAATAAATTCCTTTTAAATTCCTTTTGTGTTTAAGAGAATTAGTGTTGAGTTCCTCTCTCAAGAAAACTATCAGCTGCCTTTCTCCCACAAATGCACCCTGGATCTGATTATCTCTACGGTCACAATCCCAACCCAAACTACCACTGTCTCTTGCCTGGATGAATGCCAAGTCTCCCAGCTCCTCTCTTCCTCTTTCACAATTCATTGTCCACACCAGCAAGCCAAGTGATCTTAGATAAATGTCAGTCAGACCCCATCACTTCCTGCCTAGTGATTTCTCATTACATCCAAAATTATACTATTTTATAAGGCCCTGCATGATCTGCTTCTGTCCATCCTCCAATTTTATCTCTTGTCACTTCCCCTTATCACTATCTTTTTTTTTTCTTTCAGATTTTATTTATTTATTTGCCAGAGAGAGAGTGAGAGAACACACACACAAGCAGGGGGATCGGGAGAGGGAGAAGCAGGCTCCTCACCAAGCAGGGAGCGCAATGCGGAACTCGATGCCAGAATCTTGGGATCGTGACCCAAGCCGAAGGCAGACGCTTAACCGACTGAGCCACCCAGGCGCCCCTCAAGTAATATTTATTGAGTGAATGAATGAGTTACAAAATGATGAGGGGCTGGAGTTCCATGCAGGACTTAGTTTCCCTGTGGGGTCTCCTTTCCTCTGCACCATAATGTCATCCACACTGTTAATTAGTATTAACTCATAGAGCAACTTGGACCTCTCACTTGACCTTCCTCAACCTGTTGGCTCCTTTGTGAAATGGGAACTCCTTGCTGACCCAACTCCAAAGGTTGCTGGAGATGCAAGGAGCCAGTGGGTGGAGAAGCCCAAAGCCCAGCAACAATCAGAATCGAATGAGTCTGGCCTTGCTCTGCTTCCCCACCAAGTCCTTCCCCCTACATGATCCTGTTCAACCTAGCCTAGCCCTTGAAAAGTATTATTTTATAGCTCCTTGTAGAGAATTTACACAAGGTCATGACCTTCACTGTGAGAAAGCACAGGCTATAAAAGGCCAGGCTTGGCTCCCTGCTCTGTGGTTAAATATTGATAATAGCAGGAAATAGTGGCCTGGGGTGGGCAGACTACATACCCCCTGCAACAACGGAACACCCAGTCCAAGGGTCCTCCCCCACCCATTCCCTGGGGAGTCTAGACATTTTTTTTT